GCCAGCCAGGGGCCGGGGGGAGCCGGTGGGGGCTATCGGGTGACTCAGCCCCGGCCCCCTGGGGCCACCCGCTCCCCGAACACAGAAAGGCCTCTTGTCAAATTAAAAAAAAGCTCCACAATCCCGGCTGGGAGGTTGCTCCAGCAACGGCTCCGGCCAAGAAACCAGATTCCCGAAGCTGGCAATGGCCGATGCTGATAATCCCGGCCTCGCCGCAGCTCTCGTTACGGCCCCGTACGGAGCGGGGCCGAACCCACCGCTGCCTCTCCCGGGGGGAAGAGCAGTGGTGCTGAGCCCCCAGATGGGCATGATCGTCCCCCTGCTTTTTGGGACACCCCCTGGCAGGGGGGGCTGCTGGAGAGGTGCTGGCGCTTCGTCGTGGCTTTTCGCAAGAGCCGGGTGGTGCCAGGCTCTTTATCCCGGATTCCAGTCCTAATTTGGGACTAATTATATCCTGCTCCCTCCGTTTCCATCTCCCGCACTTCCTGTCCCCGCGGTTGGGAAACGCCATGGACGCGCGGCATCTCCCATCCTCACCCCCCTGGCCTAGGGACCCCAAAACCACCCTGCCACCCCGTCCCCTGACCCCGTGCGGTCACCCCACCACCACTGTGCTGTGCTGGGGGATGCGGGTGGCATGTTTGTGGGGGGGGGAACCGGAGAATTTGGGGTGATGTGTAGGGTCTTGGGGGTCCAGCCCCTGTCCTGCACTTGGTGAGGTGGCTGTGAAGGGGGTCCCAGAGAAGGGTGGGGGTCCTGGATGGAAATGGGGTTCCTTGATGGAGATGGAGGTCGCAGATGGAAGTGGGGGTTGCAGAGAGAGGTGGGGGTCCTGAATGGAAGTGGGGGATCCCAGAGGGGAGTAGGGATCCCAGACAGAAGTGTGGGTCCTGGATGGAGGTGGGGGTCCCATATGGAAGTGGGGGATCCCAGGGAGAGGTGGGGGTCCCATATGGAAGTGGGGAATCCCAGGGAGAGGTGGGGGTCCCAGATGGAAGTGGGGGTCCTGGATGGTGATGACAATTGTGGATGGAAGTGTGGGTCATGGACAGAGGTGGTGGTCCCAGACAGAGGTGGGGGTCCCGAACGGAGGCTCAGGAGCTGCTTCCCAGCAGGACACAGCTCCCGTTTTTGGTGTGGGGCAGGGATGGGGGCCTGGGGCTGGTGAGCTCCAGGAGAGGCCACATCCAGAGACTGGGGTCAGGGAGAAAGGGAAGAACCCCGGTGGCACTCACTCGGTGGTGTCCACGCGGGGGCTGGCGGCAGCGGAGCCCCCGCG